CAAGACACACCTGAAGGGCTTTCTCATTTGTCTGTGTATCATCATTCCCAGTGTTCAATTAGAAAGAACCAGTTATCGGGGGGCTGGATAGTTGCACAGTGGTATGACAGTTACTTAATATGCTCTGCAAGACTGACTCATGTGGAATGGTCCCAGGTTCTTGTCCAGAGAGCTCCAGGAGTGCACAGCATGTGCATGTCCATGATCCAGAGCTCCCTGACTGAAGCTAGACGATCACAGCTTCAAAACCCTGTTTGGGGTGCTCTCTCTCTGTTTTCCTCTCTCTATCTCTTTTGCTCTTAGAAGTAAGAAGCAGGACAGCAAATGATGTAATGGTTACATCACTGGACTCCCATGTAATCAACCACAGTTCAAGTCCTGGACCTGGCAGCTTAAAACACATGCCAGACACAGTGTGTGCATGCCCAAAATCTCAAGAGTAGAATGGGAAAGAAGGGATTGTAGTGTGACCATCCCTCCTGGTGGGGAGGGGTGACTTCTTTTTACTGTCTCTCTTTCTCTGGTGAGTGCATGCATGTGCACTATAGCAAAAATCTCTCTCTAAAAAAATTGAAAAGAAAGAAACAAGAACAAAAGAAAAAAACAGAATCAGTTATAACTTCTTGCTTTGCTCCTCAAATCTGGTAATATAGTCTGACGCCTCTCATTCAAACTTTTTTTCTTTTCTTTTTCTCTTTTCTTCTTTTTTTGTTTTTAGGTTTTTGCCATAGGACACATGCACACACCAGAGAGACAGTAACAGTGAGAGGGAAGGTGAAGTATCACAGCCATTTGGAGGGATGACCATACTTCAATCCCTTCTTCTCCATTCTGTTCCTGAGATTGTGGGCATACATGCACACATGCCTGGTTTGATTTTTTAAAACTGACAGGTGTAGGACTTGAACCATGGTTGACCATGTGGGAGTCCAGTGCCTTAACCACCATGCCAACTGCTTGCCTCAAATATTTTCATTTTTAAAAGTTTAGTTGGAATATTACCAACCTCTTGAGCCCTAGCAGAAGATCTACCAGTGTCTTTGGTCATAATAGAAATCATCTGAGAATCACCTCCAGAAGACTGTCCCTCACAAAACCACCTTCAAATATTCAAAGGAGTGCTTATCCTTTCAGTCATTCCTAGAAATTAAAGCAATAAAAGAATGTCTTCTTTGAAATTTATAAATGTTGGGACCAGCAGATGGCATAATGGTAACATTCCTGGCCCACATGGTCAACTGCAGTTTGAGTCACAGACCCAGCTGCTTGAAACTCATACCAGGCACATGTGTATGTGTGCCCAAAATTCTGAGAGGAGACAGGAGGAGAAGGGATTGCGGTGTGGCCATCCCCCCAGAGGGTTATTTCTCGCTTTCTGTCTGTCTCTGTCTATCTGGTAGGTGCACATGCCCTAGAACAAAAATCTCTCAAAAAAGAAAAAAAAATGAAATTCACAAATGTTATTTGGAAAAGAAGATAGAGAGTCAAGGGGTCTGGCTCTGATTAGCTAATAGTACCTATGATACTGTATTATTATTTAGGGGCAGATCTAGGTTTGAAGGAGCCTGAAATGTTACACAGCTATGGTACCTTCTTTAATGAAAAATAATTCAGAAATATGAACATAAAAGTGGGTCCTAAAAGGGATATTTATTTAAGATGGGAAAAAGAAATGAAAATGAATCACTGGAGCTATAGAGATTTATGTCTCTTTCTTCTCAGATCTCTTTGAACAATTTACTAAAAATAATAATATATAGTTTGTAAATTCTCTCTGATTGCCACTGCTTTTCTTCCTACTGCTTGACACTCTGTAATTGACAGGACTTGCAGGAACCCACACAAGCAAGGGGCTTAAGTTTAATCAGTATCATGATAAATCAGATGTAATTAAATTATCAAATGAATAGGAAGAAAAGGAACAAGACGACTGTAGAGTCAGTTTTAAGAATATTAGGATAGTGTAGGATATTAGACTAACTCTGAGGACTATTTCATGTGAGTAGTCAAAGGTAGCTACTTAGCAGGGTGCCTATAAATCCTCACATGGGGCTTACAAGTAAGGGCATTAAAGGTAAATGTCACATCATTGAGTATACTCAGTTGACTTTATAGGTGGCACCAGCAGGCCAAATCCTACTGCATAACTAAAGAGACACCTGCTAAAGAGAGGACAAGAGGAAATAAAAGAAATTGGAAAATATGGTGATGGGAGGGATGGGCCAGAGGGAGATAGTTCAAGATGGTGTAATGGGTATGTCGCTGGACACCCACATTGTTGACCACCGTTGGAATCGGAGACCTGGCAACTTAAAACTCATGCCTGGTGCTTGTGCATGCATACCCAAGATCCTGAGAGAATGGAAGAGAATGGATTGCAGCATGGCCATCCCCCCTGAAGGGTGACTTCACTTTCCATCTCTCTGTCTCTCCAGCGAGTGCATGCACCCTATAGCAAAATCTCTCTTTGAAAGAAAGAAAGAAAGAAAAGAAAAGAAAAAACATTGAGAAAGAGATAGAGAAGAAGTGCGTAAATACCTATTCTGAATATTAGCCACTCAACTTCCTATTATTAGGTTCTTATGCAGCAAGCATTACACTAGGAAACAATCGAGAGAGTTATGTCACTGGTAATTTCCTTCTATCCCCTCAGTTTACATTTAGAAAAAGAAACCCAGAGGTTGCTGACTGATCAGGAATGGACCAGCCCAGTCATTAACAGACCAAGGACTAGAAGCTCAATCTTTATGATGAAAACACCCGTGATATTTTTTTCTGCTATGCTTGCTTTGTAGAAAAGTATTACGGAAAACAAAGATAATTGTCCTGTCCTAAGTGAATTTAAACACTTCCCATCTAAAGTTGTCCATTCTTCCTTAAGTTTTCAATGATGTGTAATAAACACACACACACACACACACACACACAGATTTTTCTTGTGAAAGGTAGCTCTTTTACCTTTTGCATGTCCAGTGTGTCTTACTTTCATATCTTACAGCATTGATCTTCCTCTGTTGGGGTGTCTTGCCTTTTCATCTCATCCTACACACATACACAAAGTAATTTTACATAGAACCATAAATGTACACAAATCAGTATATACATATGTGCCCATAAACGTAGGTACCCCCAAAACATGCACTAAGTCTCTTCAGAGGAAACCCAGGACTAAATCATAGCTCTTTTCGCTGTGGTGATTTTCACACAGGGGAATCCTAAAAATTATTCTGGGGAGAAAATGAACTCAGGGCTACCTGATCACATAGGCACCAGAATGCAGTGCCTATAGCTCCAGTGATTCATTTTCATTTCTTTTTCCCATCTTAAATAAATAGTGTATTGTTGCATAGGTAAAAGCTGTATGCAGTTTCATGGTTTCAACATTCACCTCTAAATTATAGTGCTGTTTATCACCTGGCTAGAATGCATCCCAGGCTTCATTCTCTTATTTGAACTGTTTGGTAAGACACTTTCTTCTGAGTTTCTTGTAGGATCTCAAACTCAATAATCCTGAATTGGAAGTCATCAGCTTTCAAACTTTAGGTGTGTTCTTTTCTTTGTCGATATCCTCTAATTCCTCAAGCTAGAAACATTATGGCTATTATGAACACTGCCCATGCCCTATCTCTGTATCCCATTGTGTGCCAAGTTTTGCCAGTTCAATTCTTGGTTTTTCATATTTAATCCTTTTTCTCTATACTACTATAATTCAAATTCAGAACTTTATCACTTCTCCCTTGGATTATTAAAATATTGTAACTGATTTACCCATCTCTGTTCTCATTCCAGATAATATAAATATGTCAGTAAGATGGCACTCCCTATTCAAAACCCTAATAGCTTCAAATTATTTATAGATTAAAATCTGAATTCGAGACCAGCAGATGGAATCATGGTTAGAATGCTGTACTCTCACGTAGTTGGCCACAGTTCGAGTCCCAGACCCAGCAGCTTAAACTCACCCCAGGCACAAGTGCATGTGTGCACAAAATCCCAAGAGGAGAAGGGATTACGGTGTGGCAATCCCCTCTGGGGGGTGATTTCTCACTTTATGTCTCTCTGTCTCTCTGTTCTTCCAGCAAGCTCACACACCCTGTGGTAAAGATGTGTCATAAACAAAACAAAAAAATCTGAATGTCTTACCCGATAATGAAGGTCCTCTATTTGTTGGTCTCCAGGTACATTTCCAAATAAAATTAGGATGACTTCCCTTCCCATACCAAGATACCAGAAAAAATAATATTCTAATTCCTGATAGATTCCTATCTCTTTATCTCCCTACAGCTCCCTTTCCTTTCTCTATCTTTTACTCCTTTATCCAGATCCTAACTATTCTTGTAATACCCTCAAATGGGCATAACACTTTTTAAATGCCTTGTCCATGGCACTCATTGCTTTGTATCTTTAATTACAGTATTTTCATAGATAGCTTTCCTCTCAGACTTAGGTATGTGTTATTTCTCTATTTAAACTTGTGGGGTTGGCCTGATGGCCTAGTGATTAAAAGAACCAGATCCTGCATGGCCAACCATGGGGTTTGAACCTCAGCCTAGGGGCCTGAAAAGACACCAAGCATATGTGTATGCATGACCACAGTTCAACAAGATGAGGAGCTGAAGGAAAGTAAGCATCCCATAGGGGGTGATTTCTCCTTCTCTCTGTCTCCATAGACACACATTCTATCTTAAAAAAAAAAAAAGAGAGAGAGAGAGAGAGAGTGAAAGAATAAGAAAAGAATAAACCAATGTTGTTAAGACTTCCAATAATTATTACTTTAAATGATATTGAACACACATGTAACCTAATCCTAAAGAGCAAATGAGGATTTCATTACAATGACTGAGCCTGAGTGTACTGCTTATTTCAATGCATCAAAAATTTAGCAGTCACCAAGCATACATCAACAATCAAATCAAACAGATTTTCAATGTAACACCTCCAGGAGTGGAATGAAATTATAACATTTATTTTATGTTTAAAGACTATTCTTTATTTCCCAGGTGTGATGGGAGAATATGAGCCGAAAATTGAGGTCCATTTTCCTTTCACTGTTACAGCTGCTAAGGGAACGACTGTTAAGATGGAGTGCTTTGCACTTGGCAAGTAAGTACATATTTTTCCATAATTAGACATAATTGTTTATTAAAATGTGACATATCATATTTTTAGATCATTATTTTGCCTGGTTTTGTTTCCCCAAGAGCTCTATGGTGGCTACTCATAGAAGGTCAAAAGAATTGACCAAGAAACTGATTATAATTATCTTTCTAGTAATTTTTATGCATAGCAATGTATATGATTTTGCTCTTTTAACAGATGGAAAACTTCCCTAAATGAAAGATGAGTTTTATATCGCTTTGCCTATTTGTCTTAAAATTTTAGTATCATCCTTAAATTTTATTCAGCAATGATGTAAATACAATATAAGGACAAGGTACTCTGTTCCTCCTTCACAGGATGTAGATTCAGATACTTTATAATAAGATAACAGTATAAAAGTCATAAGGATGGTAGTTACAGGCAGCCAGTTGATTACTTCGTATCTCCTGAAATAATACAGATAGCACAGCTGTCAATATAAACCACAGATAATCACTCCCCAAATCAGAGAGATGATTTATATCACAGCCTAATGCCTGCCATACTTAATGATTCTATTTCTGAGGGTGTAAATCCCACGATGTATAGTCATTTGTCAATGATGTTTGCAGTGTGGGTATTGGGATCAGCAGCGGGAGTCGGATTTTGATTATATTTGATTAGCACATTATGATTTATTTTAAACAGAATGTTGTTTTGTTTTTTTTAGGATGATAAGACTTCAGGGTCCTTTCTAGGCTCTATAATTATAATTTGCATAAATGCATCTCTATCAGAATTACTAATCATTTAACTTGAGTTGCAGTGAGCCAACTCCCACAGCATAACTTTAAAGCACTTGAAGATAAACATGCTACATAAATGTGCTTATTAAAGTAGGGTTCGCCTGTACGTGAGGAAAATATTAGTAAACATGAAAAACTCAGCCAGTCAGGAGAGGTTTAAGGGATGAACATAGTTAACACTATGTGTTTTAAATTCAAGACTGATGGAAATAAAACACACACACACACACACACACACACACACACATATGCCTATAATAAAATTTAATTTATAAGTTAATAATAGATTAGCAATAACTAATAATTCAATAGAACAATTACAACAATATACTGCAATAAAAGTTAGGTGAATATGGTGTCTCTCTCTCTCTCTCTCTCTCAGAATATCCTGTAGTACTGTATTGTGGGTAACTAACAGTAGAATGTAAAGCCACAGAGAAGGGGAACTATTATATGTGCCATCCTGCTTCGACCTAATAGAAGCAAGATCATAATAAATTAAAAGCAAAGTAAATTGTGTGCAGTCCATCTATTAAACAAAATATACCCATAAGTAGAAAACATTTCAAGACTTAAAATACATGTAGGAGATATTTGGGCAGATATCTGAGGAAGCCGTCCAGAGGAAGCCTTTCAAGGCTTGAAGATTGTAGTTAAGTGCAGAAAATTGAATAATCCCTGTAAGACTTGTTTTAGCCATTTGTCATGTAATAGTGTCAAGTATGCCTGCACATGTGTCAAATAAGAAGCCTGATTCTGATAAATGCAAAAAAATATATATATTCTGGTTGATACCAAAGGTTCTAGTATATCCTGCAGTTAAATAATTTTCAAGTGCCAGCATTGGTATTAAAGCCACAAACAAAGAGAGGTCATATTGTAAAACAAATTTGAGAACTAGATTTAAAGGGGAAAAAAAATACATTATAGAATATTTCCCCAGGCAGGCTTATTTAATAAGTTAAATGTGGTTGCTTTTAGAAGCCTTGAAATATGCTTAATAAATTGATGCCTAAAATCCTTTTCATTCTAGGTAGGACCCAACAATGAAATTATTTATGTTCTTTTAAATTTACTTTGAAAATGTATTTATTTCTTTGATATGAGAGACAAAGGCAGGGAGATAGTGAGACAGAGGCAGAGAGAAACACTCCCAATAGAGAACCTATTCCATGATTCACCCCCACTACCAGTTGACCTGGACCACCTGCACTCACATAGGCACCTGGTGTGCCCAGGATAGTCCAAGGACAGGAACAAAGAACCCCTTCAACAGGAGGTCACATGCACCACACCTGTGCCACTCCTGCTTCCTATTCACTTACTTTTAATCTTTTTTTTTTCCAACTTCACTCCTTTTTGTTATCTCTTTCCAAAAACAAAAGGAATAAATAAAAGGAAAAGGAAGGAAGATACACCACGTATGTCAAGAAAGTCTCTGCTGGTCCATTTTTATTGCTGTGAATTGTGTTCCCTCAAATTTCATTGTGTTGAGATTTGTTGTCACAGTAGTAAGAGTAAACTTCCTGGTGTTGAAAGGTAGCACCTCTGAGAATGAGTAAGTGATTAGAATGGGCTCCTATAAAGGAGTTCTGCTGGGTTTATAAAGAGAGGGAAGGAGACCAGGTCAGAGCAACGGATAGACACAACGGCTCTGCTCTTGCCCTCGTGATATGATCGGGACTCAGAGACGCCAAGCAGAGGTGGCCCATGAACTTTGGACCTCTTAACTGTGAGTGAGCTGAAAACAATCTATATTTTCATAACTCATGAAATTTTAGGTATTCTTTTATTAGCAGTAAAACAGACTGAAACATAGCTTTCCTATGAAGTGTCATGATTATAAAGGAAAGCTGTCATAGTCTCTACTCAAAAGTCTAACTTGCCACCCTCGTGAGACTGAATAAGATTAAATAATACCTTGACACACATTCATTTACTCCCAGCATATTGTCACGTGGCGCAGATCATCCCTGCAGCCTGATGTGCTCAGGGCAATTTGAAATTCATGCTTGAGCCTCTGCTTAGTCCCCACAGCTCACCTGAATAGCTTTCCCCTTGAAAGACTACATGGTGCTCTGGTGGGTCTTTGTTCCAAGAACTTCAGTATCTGTTACTAGCTATGGGCCAGGATTTTACCTCTCAGACTGATTCTCCTGTCAGTGTGCCCTCATAGAGCATCTTAATCAAATGTTTCTCACGCAGCGCTGTCACGGAATTCTGCAGTGGAGCCCGCTGAGCTGTTCTCTGTCTCACGGCCTTTGCTGGAAACACCCTTCCCCCATACTTTCCTTGGTGGTTTCCACTTATCCTCTGGCTTTGGCTTAACTAGCACCTGCTAAAGAGGCTATCTGTGACCACTTTACCTAACTCATATTTATTATTCTCCATTTAAATACTTGGCTCGTTTCTTCGTAATTCCAACATAATTTTAAATTGCTGGCATAGGTATCTCTACCTCAGCATATCTGTATTAGTCAAGGACTCAGCTGGAAAAGAGCCTCTAACTCAGTTCAATGGAGTTTAGTAAAGGAATGAATTGAGTGTATGTGAGCAGGGTTAAAAGGACCAAGAAGAGGAACTGAAGGATTTATAGAATAGAGATAGCAAGAACTCTATTATTATTATTACCCTGAAGGATTAAAGGACGAAGAGTGTGGTCAGAACCAGGGAGAGCTGAAGATGAGGAGTCAGCAGGGGCCATGTAAAGGCAGCTGTAGATACTACAGCTATGAAGAAATACAGCCTTTTAAGGAACACAGCGAAAGACAGGGTTAGGAAATTATATTTCGATTCTTCTTTCTTGTGTCCTCTGATCCCCTGTGGTGACTCCCATGAAGCCAACTAGAAGCTAGTTTTCAAGACATCTATACACATAACATGGCAGAAATTCTGCCATGGAGAAGGAAGGTGGTGAGAAAGGAGGTAAACACAGTGACCAGCACAGTCCCATCGTGCCACACAAGGGCAAGAATCCCAGCTGCTCTCCTCACTCATGCCGGGCAATGCAGACAGCACTCAGATAATGCCTGTTAAAGGAATGAGTCAACTCAAGTACTGTGTCTAAATTCAGCCAACTCTTAGCAAATAAGTAACATTTTGTTTTCTTTTTATTAAATCTGGGAGAGGGTAGGTGCACTAGCCAGAGAGAAACAGAGAAGGGGGAGTGGGAGGGAAGTGAAAAGGGCACCCATGGAGAAATGGCCACAGCACAATCCCTTCTCCATTTCTCTTTTTAAGATTTTAAGTGTGGGGATCAGCAGATTGCGTAATGGTTACATTGTTGGTCTCCCATGTAGTTGACTATAGTTCGAGTCCCAGACTCTATGATTTAAAACTCATGCCTGGCACATGCCCAAAGATCCCAAGAGGAAAACAGAGGAGAAGGACTTTTCGCTTTCTTCTGTTTCTCTCTGTCTCTCTGGCGAGCACACACGCCCATACCAAAAACCTGTCTACAAAAAAAAAAAAAGATTTTGGTTGTGCAAACACAAGCATGGCATGTTTTTCAAGCCATGAAGTGTGGGACTCAAACCACCCAGTAGGCCATATGAAATCCAACTGCCTTAACCACCACACAACTAGCTGGCCCAATCATGACTTACGCTTTATCCCTTCTACCCCCCAAAATTATTCTTCACACACTGCACATCTCTGTTCTGCTCTCTCACATCTCCTGTTTACATCCAAATTTATACTCATGTCCCTTCTCTGGCCTCTTCATGCCTTTGCTTCCTTCCTCCATCTAGTGCTTTGTCTTAGACCTACAATTTTTCCAGCTCCTTTTTCTTTTATTGTGATTACTTATCATAAGCTCTATCTTCTCAATTCACTTTACATCCACAATATGCATAATATTGTTACAATACATGATAATATAATGTCATTAACTGTAGACACAATATTGTATAGCAGGTCTCTAGACTTTATTGAGATTAGATGACGGAAAACTTATTTCAATTTTTTTTTTTTTTGAAAATGTGTTTTGCTAGCTATAGGACACATGTGGTCTCTGGAAAGACACATAGATAGAAAACAAGAAATCAGCCCCCAGGAGGGATGGCCATGCCACAATTCCTTCTCCTCCATTCTCCTCTTGGGATTTTGGGCTCACATGTACATGCACCTAATGTGAGTTTCAAGTTTTCACATCTGGGATTTGAACCATGGTCAGTCATGTGGAAGTCCAGCACTACATCATCTGCTGGCACCGAATTT